AAAGGCAGACGGCCAACAACTGAGCCACCCAGGCGCCCCTCACTCTATCTTTTTAATAAAACTACTCTTGGTGAGTTGGCTATTTAAATTAATACTGTTAGGTGCTCATGATACACATGACATATTTGGGGCAGACAATTAATTAATAGTACAAGTTAAGGCAGCTGCCACTAAAACAACTTGACAAAGTACCAAAAAGTCTACCTTGGTCATAATCTGTTAAAAAAAAAAAAAGTTTCCTGTGAAAAGAGGCCTATATAAATTTTTTAGTCTTTACTCAAGAATTGCAGAGAAGTATACTCATTGTGATAAATAGTGAAAACAAACAACTGTGACCCTCCCTTCCTCTATCAAAACACAAAATACATCAGTGGAAAGGACAAACTTTAAATCCACGTTACCTCTATCATAGTCCAGGACTTTCCTATACTCCTTGTCGTGGAGAAGAGGCAAGAGCTCAGGTAAGGGTAAGAAGATTAAGAGATAGAATAACAGAATGTGATTTTTAAAAATGTTAACTTTTGTATACCTTGTATTGAGGGAAGCCTAGCTCACTAATCCACTCTGCAACTTTCTCTGGGCTCCATTTAAGATACTCAAATTGTAGCTCAGCACTTTCTTTTGGCTGGGTTTCTTCATCTTTGTGTACCTGTTTCAACTCTGGGGAAAAATCTACAACTTTTTCACTAGAAGACTCTCTCAAATCCCTCTGAGAGTCTGAGAGGTAAGGGTATAAATCATCATTGATATCGGTAACCTCAAACAGTCCTTTAAAATCCTTAGGAAACTCATAACTTACACTCACTGAATCTACTTCACTTATTGTGAGAGACCCGAACATAGACTCTCTTTTAGCTTTCTTGGTTTCTTTTACTGACCACTTTCTCGTTTGATAGTCAGAGTGTTCTAGCTCATCCTTGTCTAGGGAATACTTAAATTTGACTGGTTTTGGCCTATCTTCCTTGAAAAATTCTGTATGTGACACTATTCTTAGTGGTAGTTGGGCTTTATCTGGTAATTCTAGATCTTTCTCTTTAGTTTCCTCTGTTTGTGTCTTCTCTTGGACCTCTGGTTTCGTCTTCTGTGGTGGCATTTGACCTGTTTCAAACTCAGTTGTTTTTCTTGGTTCTTTCTTTGGAAACTTTGGCTCTAGACCTTTCTCTTCTGTTGAGTCTCTTACTGTCTCCTCTGATTTGGACTTCTGTGGTGGTGCCAGTCCTGTCTCCTCAGTTGATTTTCTTTGCTTATCTTTTTGCTCTGATGATCGAGTGTCCTCTAGTGGTTCTAAAACTTTCTTCACAGTTGACTCTTTGTGGGTCTCCTCTTCAACTTCTGATTTGGTCTTTTCTGATGGCTCTAGACCTGTTTCCTCAATTGATTTTCTTGATTTTTCCTCAGGAAATTCTGATTTGGTTTCTTCAAGTGGCTCTGTCTCTTTCTCCTCAGTTGACTTTCTTCCTGTCTCTTCACTAGACTTAGTTGGTTTCTGGTCTGGAAACTCTGATTTGGTCTGCTGAGGTGGCTCTGTCTCTTTCTTCTCAGTTGATTTTCTTTGGTCCTCCTCTGGATTCTCCGGTTTAGTCTCTTCTGGTGGTTCTACACCTGCCTCCTCAGTAGACTTACTTTGTTTCTCCTTTGGAAACTCTGGTTTAGTCTGTTCAGGTGGCTCTGTCTCTTTCTCCTCAGTTGATTTTCTTTGTATCTCCTGTGGAACCTCTGGTTTAGTTTCTTCTGGAGGTTCCAGACCTGCCTCTTCAGTTTCTCTTGGTTTCCCTTCTGGAAACTCTGGTTTGGCCTGCTCAGATGGCTCTGTCCCTTTCTCCTCAGGTGATTTTCTTTGTGCTTCCTTTGGAATGGTCATCTTTGGCAGCTGTAGATCTGCCTCTTCAATTGATTTTCTTGGTTTCTCACTTGGAAATTCAGGTTTGGTCTGCTCTGGAGGTTCTGGACCTGTTTCTTCATATTGCTCTTTCAATGAATCCTCCAGAACCTCCAGTATGGTCTGTTCTAGCAACTCTAATCTTGTCTCACTGATTGAGGCCCCTGAAACTTCAGTCTCTGTCTCCTCTGGTAGCTCCGGATCTGTTTCCTTATCTGACTCTAGGAGTACATCCTCTGTAACATCTAATTTGGCCTCCTCCAGTGGCTCTAAATCTGGCTCATCATCCATAAGGACCTCCAAATCCTTGAAAAGCTCTCCTCCCATCTCTCTCAATGTCTCCGACTTTGCCTTCTGCGGCATCCCTCGATCAGTCTCGCTTGGAAGGTCTCTCTCAGACTCCTTGGGAATCTCCTCCTTGGACGTGCCGGTTGGTTTTACGTGTAGGTGTACATTCTCTGGCGCCCCCACTTCTTCGAGGTCTTTTTCCTCTGTCTCTGGCTGGGGTTCCTGGTCAATCTCTACAGGTAGCTCCGGGCCTACCTCTGCCATGGTGTCAGCTTCGGCATCTTGAGCCACTTTAAGAGACGTTGGTAGGTCGACTACCTCATACTCCAGATCTTCTCCTTCAACTGGGCCGGAATCGTAATACTCTGGGACTTCAGCCATGACGCACGTTAGCCGACGCGCCCAGGCCTCCTAGCAACCCCAACTTCCGATAGCGTCGCTATGGATACCATGAGTTCCGGCCGAGTCTTCCTGAATCTTCCCCAGGTTTTGTTTGTTCTGTCAAACCCTGACTAAAAACCTGCGATCAAAAGCACGCAGTCACCCTCCCCGCGTCCGCGTCGCCAGCCTCGGCTGCCCCAAGCCCCTACGGCCGCTCTGGGGCCGGCGCACCGCCTCTTCCGGCCCGCGGGCCCCGCTCGGCTCCTCCCGGCGCGCCGCCGCCCCCCCTGCCGCTGTGCTCGCTCGGCCTTCGGCTGTTTCCGGAGCCTCTCGCTGTAGGCCGCCGAGGCGTTGGCGGAGCGGGCTGCAAATGTCGGAGCGGCAGGCGGCGGGGGGGCCGGCGGGCGGCGGCGGGGACGGCCCGGGAGTGGAGGGGAGCCAGGCGGCCGCCTCAGGTACGCAAGCCGGGGGCCGGCGGGTGAGTCCGCCCGGCCTCGGGGCCCCGCTCGTCGCGCGAGGCTCGGCCGCGCCCTGTCCCACTCTGCCCCGCGCCCGTCGGCGCAGCGGACCCACCCGGGCATCCCTTTCGCGCGCAGAGCCTACGCCTTCACTCCTCCGGGCCGCGCCCGGGCCCTCGGCCCCCGCCTCCCCCGCCGGCCCGGGACTGCGCTAGAGCTTGCTCGCTACTCCTGTTTCGAAATGCCGTGGTTCCTGCCCCGCTTCCTTTCTCCGATCGGCCCAGATGGCAGTGCCCCCGGCGCCTCTTGAGCCTCAGCTCGCCCGCGGGTCTCTCCTTGGCCGCGGACCCCAGCCCCGCCAGCCTCGCTGCTCCCTGCTCGTGGCTCCGCACCCCGCTGCCCACCTCTGTCCTGGCCCAGGCTTTCCGCGCTCTCTCTGCCCGGGTCCGGCAGGGCAGCCTCGCCTGCCGCTGGCCTGAGCCCCGCTTGGCCCGGCACCCCGCCCCAGCACACAGGCCCCCGCGCCTCGCCGCCGCCTCTCGGTCGCTCAGAGTGGGGGAGACAAGAAGCAGAGCGGGAGCCGGGAGGTTCTGGGGTCTTATGAGTGAGCATCGTGGCCGGAGCAAAGGCAGGACCTAGGGGCTGAAATAGGGACTTTGGCGACCCTCCCTCATTTGTTTCTACCCACGCGAGTTCCTGCGCGGGGGTTACTTCAGCAGCCAGAGGCGAAGGGTGAATCCATCGCACTTTGACCTCTCGGGCCTCCTTATGCTCACCACACATGGAGATTCAAAGGGTAGGGGGAGAGAACTGGTTTCACTAAGTGGCAAGTAGAAATTAATTTTCCAAGTCTGAAATGAAAATAGACACCATCAGCTATAGTGGTAGAGGTGGTGCGGGGCGCCTGGGTTGGAGTCTGCATCTTCAGCGTACTGATTAAGTGTCCTTGGGCCAGTCACATCTCCCTGTCTCAGTTTCCTCATCTGTAAAAATGTGGGTACTAACAGTACCCGCCTAATAAGATTGCCGGGAGGGTTACATGAGCCACTGTCTGAAGTTTCAGTGCCTAGCCCCCCGGGACACACTATAACTGGTGGTGTTATTCATTGTTCTGAGAATAAGATCTGTTTTTGCTCACTTCAACTCTGTGTGCTCTCAGAGGTGTTTCTGGATGTGTGTCTTCCTGCATGGTGGTGATTCTTCTCATCTTTTACTTCTATCCCAAATATCTCCCATCCTCTAATGCTGCTTCAGACACAGACACACACACACACCTCTCTCACACACACACCCCTGTGAATCACCCAGCTTTCCCCCGTGATTTTATGTTCTCTTATTTTAAAACATATGACAAATTTTGTCCTTTTTTCCTTTGTATGAACTTTTATGCTTTATAGTATGTTCAGAATTGATGGCATGTATTTAACATTACAGCAATAGAAATTTTAAGCATAATTTCTAAAAAGATTCAGCAAACGAACACTCAAGAGTCTCATAAACATCTGTCCCTTGCATATGTCAGTATTTATGAGTGTTGTGTTTGTTTTGTTTTGTTTTGTTTTTACTTCCCCTTAAGCTCCTTGTGTGCTTATGGCAAACAAGCCCAAACATTTTAAATTTTGACTAAGAATAGTCAAATATATTGGAGGATGGTGGGTTTGTCTCAGAGTTTGAATTCCTCCCCTCCCCCCTCTTTTAATTGGGTCCTGCATTCAGTTTTTTCTTCCCAGGACATTGATAAAAATACTTCTGGTTACTTTCTTCCTCTTGCCCTTAGGGTGACTGTTGGTTTCTTTTTCTGTCATGTAGGGGCTTGTTACTGTAGCCCAGAGCACACTCTTCCCCTTGAGGTAGGATTTGTTGCTAATAAAATAATAGTAATGATGACTTACATTAATTGAATGCTTCTTTGTGCCAGAAATTGGACAAAGATTTACTTGTGTTATCTGACTTAATCCTGTCAACAGTCATTTTCTCCCCATTTTATTTTGTTTTTAAAGATTTTACTTGAGAGAGAGCACGAGCGGTTAGGAGGGGGGCGGGGGGAGAGGGAGAAGCAGACTCCCCACTGAGCCCTACGTGAGGCAGAGCTGGACCCCAGGACCCCCGAGATCACAACCTGAGTCGAAGGCAGATCAACTGACTGAGCCACCCAGGTGCCCCTTTCCCCCCATTTTATAGAAGAACAAACTACAGCTGAGAGAGGTTAACTTATCTGCCCAAGTTAGTGTGGTGATTTTGCTATCTGTATGAAACTGTCACCTTGTTGTCATGAAGCTTACAATCGTTTGTTTTTTTTGGCTATTGATCCAGTATTGGTATTCCAGGGCAGGTTATGGTCTTTGCCCTCAAGGTGTTTCTAGTGTGGTAAGATGAGAGTACCCCAGGAACAAACATCAGCAACTCAAAACATTATATAATTGAGTATCTGTTATTACAGTTCTTTATGTACTTACCCTCAAGAAATCTGCTTGAGGGGAGGGACAGAATCTGTCTCCTCTGTTTATCTCCTAGAGCCCTTAATGTTGTGTCCTAGAGGTCCTATAAATATTTGCTGGATTGAGAGACAAAGTCTCAACACAGAGATTTGGAGGAGCACCAAGTGCATATGAAGAATTAGGGTTGAGATAATTAAGAATGTTCCTTGGGTTAAAGCAGTGGTTCTCAAGCAGGAGCGATTTTGCCTGGGGATGCTCAGGGGATGGTTTGGTTGTCACTGCTGGGGCTGGGGAGGTGGGGGAGGGCTGTCAGTGGTATGTAGTGGGTAGAGGTCAGGGATGCCGCTCAATGCCCTGCAATGCACAGGGCAGCCCCCACAACGAAGAATGTTCTGGCCCCAAGTGTCAGCAGTGCTGCTGTTGAGAAATGTGGGGTTAGCATGAAGCTGGATTTCCAAAGCAGTGCAGAAATCATGCATCTGGCTTGATTTTTATAACCTGGGGAATAAACTTAAAAAACTGCTTCAAATTAGCAGTCTGATTGGATTCTTCTGCCACCTTCCTCTAGAAAATGATCCAGTAAGTAAACAATAGAGGCCTGAGATAGAATGAAATTGAAGGAGGTTTCTGCCATTCCTCTCCTAGAGGGAAAACAGCAATAAGAAATGAGTTTGGGGGTGCCTGGGTGGCTCAGTTGTTAAGGGTCTGCCTTCGGCTCAGGTCATGATCCCAAGGTCCTGGAATTGAGCCCCACATCGGGCTCCCTGCTCAGCGGGAAGCCTGCTTCTCCCTCTCCCACTCCCCCTGCTTGTGTTCCTGCTCTCGCTCTTGCTCTCTCTGTCAAATAAATAAATAAAATCTTAAAAAAAAAAAAAATGAATTTGGACATTCTGTTGTTATTGAATTGAAGGTTTTGATTAAAATAAAAGGTTTTGATCTTTCAGTGTATCTTATTCCTTCAAAGCAGGAATTTATAATTATCCAGAAATCATAACTTGTTTTTTTTTTAAAATATTCTCTGCAGAGAGTACCTTTTGAGTGTCTTCATGTTTGTTAGCTGAAGTTTCAGTGATGAAGTAAGGAAACTTTTTTATGTTCTTCTGAACTCAGCTTTACGGTGACCACAGTGCTATTATTGTTTTGTGAACTGTAATTGTTTCTAATAGTCTCTTATTTGGGGCACCTGGGTCCTTCAGTCCCCAAGAGGAGAGAGATGTCACTCTTTATATAGTGAAACTCTCTTAGGCATACATGTTGCATCACTTAAGAACAGACTTTTTTTTTTTTTTTTTAAGTTTAGGGAGCTTTGTGGAAAATAAAGGGCAAAGTCTGTTATGACCTTGAAGTTAGCATTAGAAATTAGTTTGGTATAAATGACTGTGAGAGTTATCAAGGCACTTAGACGCTAAGGATTGGACACAAGTCAGGTTAACTTGTCATGATTCTTATGTAGGTCTTAGAGCAGTGTGGTTAGTCTTTCTGCAGTGATGGAAATGTTGCATATTGTAGCTATTTCAATTTAAATTGAATTTTAAAAATTGGTGGCTATCATAGTGGATGGAGCAAAAGCGTGGGAATTTATGCCAATGAGCCCTTATGGTTTTTTGCTTTTCTATTGTAGTTTTATATCAAAATGGTATAAATTTGTCTGCCTGTGGTAATTTTTTTTTTTTTTCTGATAGTGGTTGTGTTTTTGTGGTGTTGAGATAGTCAGTTAGTCCTGTCATTATTTATTCCATGACATTATAACGCAAGGTTTGTAGTCTGAATGACCACTGAAGAGCTGGTTTCACTCAGAAGGACTGATGACAAATTGGATCATGTGGTTTTGGGATTTGGTTGGAATATAAACTCAGCCAGTTTCTTTTTGTTTAAGCCTCTTGAGTCTATAACCACATAACCTGCTTTTGGTTCCTCTGCCCTTGAATCTAAAAGCCCAGGCTAATTATCTCCGCAGCCTGTTTAGTGAAGGGGAAGTCCTATGAGACCTGTTCTAAAGAACTCTGACCTGATATTCAAATGCTTTAGAAAAAACCTGTTTTTTGGTTCTCTTTGTAGAGAAAGTACAAAGTACACAATAAATTTAAATCTGTAGCATGATCAGAATGCTGGTAACATAGAAAGAAAACTAATATTTTAAATATTGTCAAATATAAAATAAATCATTATAGGAAAGTTTGTTTCCTCTTCACCTTGCTTTAGAGGCTATAATCTATAAATTTAGTTATTCTTGAGCTTCCATTTTCCTTTCTCTGTTCATTGTTTCTAAGACTTTGGCCATGCAGGTAGCACGTCATGGTTTTTGCCACGTTAGAGAATACATTCCAAAATTATTTGGTTACTATTTTTTCTTTAAATTGACATTTAAAATTTTGTTTCATTCTAAATGATATCTGTGCTATTACTATTTTGATGTATCAACTTTTCCTAATATGTGTTAAATACATACCCATTAAAATAAAAAAAAAACATTTTCCCATATACCATCTAAATTTGCAAAACTAGTCCTGGTTTCTCTGGTCTCTTCTCAGAATACTTGTAGAATTGGTCTATATTTGG